AGAACTCCAACGCATCAGATTCTGAGTATTTTCAAAGATGGACTCTTCACGGCATTCTGCAAACTTTATTTACAGCGCTACAAGGTAGCATCAGTTAAGATACACTGTCGATAAACGTAGGCGGTTCTGCTTACACGTTAATTCCTGGGGCACGCTCCGGTTTGTGTTTTGTTCTTTAGGAAACACACAACAACAACGACAACGAACAAAAGAGAACGGCGGCCCTGATGCCGCGAGGCTCTGCCGAGTGGTCTCCAGCCCCCGGCTCCGACCGCGCGGGCAGAGGAGCGCGCCCGACCTCTTGCAAGCCTCGGTGCTTTCCTTGCGCTCCCACCTGCGCAGCGACGGAGCACCTCGGGGCTCCCAGCCTCGGCTCCCCGACACCACTGCCCGACCCCGACGGGCCCTTACCCCGGGGCTGCGCTGCCGCCGCTCGCCGCCCCGCGCACGAACGCACCAGGTGCGCTGCCCTGCGCGCGTCCCTTACGCCATCCGCGTGGCACCCGCACCGGCGGCGCCCCCCGCGCCGCTACCTGGCGCCGGCCCCGCGCCCCCTGACGTCACGGTGGGGCCAACGCGGGGCCGGCACCGGGGCCGCGGCGCCCCTTCCCTCCTCCCGTTCGCCGTCCCCTCCCTCCCCCCGCTCGCTCGCCCGCCGCACGACTCTTAAAGGCGTTTTTCAGCCCGGGCCGGCTCACAGACCGCGCGGAGCCCGGCACCGCTTGCATCTGCTCCGCGTCGCTACCGCCCCCCACTCCTCCTCCTCCCTGACCGGCCCGCCGCTCGCACCGCCGCCGTTCCCCAGCGATGTGCTCCCGCTCCGCGGGACGCTGAACTCCGCGGGCGGCTCGGGGCGGGAGGGGCCGGCTCGGGGCGCTCTCCTTTCCCGGCCCCGTTGCGGGCTGGGGGCGGCGGGAGGAGGACGGCCCCGCGCCCCGCCGCGCGCGCCTCCCCCCCGGGCGCCGGGGGTCTCGAAGCTGGCGGGGGCTCCGGCCGCAGAGATGGCTCGGATCGGATGGGGCTTCCTCCTGTGCGCCTGGGCGCTGCTCTCCCCGGCGCTCGCCGCCGCCGAGAAGGGCAGGCTGCGAAGGATCACCTACGTGCTGCACCCCAGCCAGGCAGGATCGGCCGGCGGCCGGCAGCAGCGCCCGGCCCTCCTCGCGGGGCAGCAGCAGCGCACCTTTAACGTGCAGCTCAACGCGCACTACGGCACCGCGGAGCGCACGCGGCGGATGAGCAAAGCGGGAGGCGCGGGAGTGCAGCTTCGCCTGGGCCCCGTCGGGCAGAGCCACTCCAACTCCGCCGCCTCCTCCTTCGCCAAGCCGGCCCGCTTCGGCCCGCGGCCCAAGCCTCCGCCGGGACCTCACGGCAACAGCAGCGGCGCGCCGCCCCGCCAGAAGCACCCGCTGCCGTCGCTACCGGGGTAAGGTGCCCCGCTTGCTGTGCCGTGCCGCGCTCCGCTCTCGGCGCCTTGCGCCGTTACCCGCCCGCTCCCCTCGGGCACACGAGGCGTCGAGCGGGCGAGGGGCGGCCCCGCGTTCATCCCCCGGCTCCTCGCGGCTTTCCGCACTTCCCGCCTTTTTGTCTCCCGTCCCGGCCGTGCGGGGGCCGGCGGCCGATGGGGGCCCCTCCGGACCGTCGTCCCTCTCTGCTCTTCCCGCAGGGTCAACGTCTGCGGAGGGCAGTGCTGCCATGGCTGGAGCAAAGCCACGGGCTCGCAGAGGTGCATCAAACGTGAGTATTGTGGGTGAACGGGGAGAATCCCTCCTGAGGGAGGCGGGCGGCACGTGGCCGGCACGGAGCTGCGCCGCCGCGAGGTTACGGAGGAGGGAATAGCAGCCCCGGTCGGGAAGCCTCTGCGGGTGTCCGTGAGGTGCGCAGCTGTGGAAGCGCTGCCTCGGCTCCGCAATGCGCGCCTCTGCCCCACGGGGAGCTGCAGGGAACGGTCGTCGGGATGCGAGGGGGATGCGAGGGGGACGCGGGAGTCCCCCGTGCGGGGGGACGTTTGTCCCTGGGTGGGGTTTCTCACAGTAGGGAGCAGCTGCATCTGTAATGCGCG